CCCCAGAGAGTTGGTATTCAGCCTCTGACCCTCTGCATGGCAGCAACATTGCCTGGTCACTGAGGTGGTGCTGAATATGCCCTGGAGACAGTTTCATTTAATGAATATGCCCTCAGTTCTCTCTGACAGCAATGACAGCCCCTGTGCAACCAACACAAAAGAGAAGAATCTAGCCTTCATTTCTTCCTGCTTTTCTTGCCCCTGCCTCCTCCTTTTATTCTCTTTGTTCGTCCTTCCTCCTTCTTTCCTCTCCACCTTTCACACCCCTAGTACTCAAATGCCTCTGCATTCCCTGGGCAGGGAGTGAAGTAAAGTCACAGCAGAACAACCCAGCTGTTGCTTTGCTGTGGAGCTGCATGATGAGGTGGGGGGCTCATTAGAAGTGCCGTGATTTCTCCCCACCCCCAATCTATTTTTGCTAAAATGAAGCTCTTTTGCTAATGAAAAATCTGACAGCAACAGAGAAAATGCCAGCAAGAACTAGACGCTTTGAAGAGAGAGGGAGGCACAAAGCAAATGATAAACAGTTTGGTTTTCATGTGGCACTTTGAGCTGATTGTCTTATTCCATTACTGGAGACAGCACCTAAGCTTCCTGCTGAGGTAGCCCTCACAGCAGTCAATATCAGCCACATTCAGCCTTGGTATGACTCCACTGACTCCAGGGATGCATTTGGCCCCAGGGGGTCTTGCAGGGACTCCAAGGACTGCGTGGCAGCATCAAGCCCTTCAGTATTGCAAATGTACAGCATTACCATCACTGGTCTGATTGTGCAGCAACCTCCTGGTGGGACATTAACGTATTTTGTTCAATGGGAACAGCGTACAAATAAAACTATTCCTTTTCTGGGCTTCCCTCTGCCGCTCCACCAGTGCTCCTCCGTCCTGACCTGCAGCACCCCTGCTAGTCCCATTCTGGGGCCCCGCACAGCTCTGCTGAAGCGCCTCACTCGGGACACGCCCCGCCTCCTGACACACTAGCCCTGAGCTTCCACACAGCTCTGCGGCTGCTCCTACAGTATTCACTTCCTCTCTAGGCCCCGTTCCTCTAATGAGCAGGAATCCCCAGTGGTATCAAAGTTTACTGCCTTTTTTCCCTGCTGTGCTGTGCTACCCCATAACTCGCAGGAGGCCTGCTTTTCATGTGGAAATGTGACCCAGATAGGAACCTTGTCCCCCACAGGCAAACACACTGACCCTCCACACAAATTCCTTCCACAGTGACAGGCTTTCAGGTGGATTATTTATCTATTTTTAATCCACACAGTAATTTACTTGCTCCCACAGCAGCAATGGTAGCTTTGTTGTGGGAGAAGAGTGCCCTCTTGTGGCACCACCTTCCTTCTAATTCCTCTTTTCCACTCTCCCCTCTTTCCCTATTAGTCAGGATCTCCTTTGTATTCCCTGCTCCTGCTCGTCATTTCCCTGGGGCATGGGGTAGGATTTCTTTTTCCCTCGCCAGGCTTTTCTATCAGCTTGCTTTTATCATTTATTTATACTGCATTCCATGATCTATATATACACCGGGTCATGATTTTATCACTTGGATCCTTTTCCCTTTGAAATTCTCTTCTATTTCCTTCCCCACATTTTCACTCTGTTCCAATTTCATTTTCTCTTTTATTTCCTCTGCTCCCAGTTTCCTCCCACCCACTCCACTCACCCCAAACCCTCTCCCCTCTGCTTTTTAACCTCTCCAATTCCCGCTGCACATCAAATTCACTTCTTTGTGCTGCTTCAGGATTCTCCCCACCTTTGCACCATCATCACCCCATCAGTCCCAAGCCTTGCTTCTGCTGAGCTGCAGTTGGTACAGGAGTTTGAGAGGTGGGGGGGCAGCCTTTCTGCACCAAGAATCCAAGCACTGGATTGATCCCCTAGGTCTGGGGGTCCCGAGACCTCTATCTAAAGAGCAGGTGCAGCAGAGAACATTTAGTACACGTCTCATCTGCACTGCCTCTCTCTCTGCCCACAGCTACAGCTGCAAGGACCACTGCTTGAGCTGTGAGAGCAGGTAGTTCAGGACTCCAGTTTCATTCAGCCCTGGCCTGTCAACTAGGATTTAGTGTTGGCTTTGTGAAATGGACACTTGCCCATAGGGATAGTACAGAGACCCAGACACTCATCTCCCCCCATAGATCACCAAGTAGTCACTAGATTCAGGCTGGCAGCCTAGGAGAGGAAGGTTATGGATTCCAGGCCGTCAACAGAGGGGATTAAGAAATAAATCTCACACCCAGGATGTGAGTCATCTTTGAAACTCTTTCTCTGTTCAGTGGTGTTTATCCCACGAACCAACCTCTATCTGTCTCTGTATTTCCAGAGCTCCTTCCTTGGTTTTTATATGCAGACCATTTGTTCCTCAGACTGTGCAGTCAGTGCTTCATTGGCAGGGGACTGTGGGATTATGGGTGCTCACCCCACCAGAGATAGGTAGTGGTTTTTACCACTCATGTCCCTATGCTACGTGGGCGAGTTACTTTGTGCTGAGCGCAAGGTCCCCTAGAGAAATCAAGGTGGCTTCCTCTTTGCCATGGTCCTGGCTGGGGCATGTCACAGGCTCCACATGCAGAAGCCAGTGTTGCCAACTCACATGATTTCATTGTGACTCCTGTGATTTTTAGTGTTTCTCTTAAAGCCCCCATCACTGGAAGCATGATTTGCATGAAAGCCTCAGCTTTCATATACAAATAAAGAAGCATCTAGCCCTGCAGTTAGCAGAGCAAAGCTTGAAAATGTGAAGCAAGTGTGCCCTGAGCATTCAGGAACCAGGAGGTAAAAGAAAAGACCCCAACATTCATTATTTTAAAAACATGATTTTTTTAAGCCAGACTCATGATTTTTGAAGGTTTGTAGTTGGCAGAATGAGGAAACCCCACATTTCCCCTAATTTACAGTTACACCCCAATGTCCCTGTATCAACCTGACCTCTGCCCCTACCCCTCTGTCTGGAATAGGGGCAGGACAGGAAGGAGGATCAAAGGCAGTTTTACAGCTTGCTGCCGGAAGGCCAACTCAGATGGTAACACGGTGTATGGAGGGGGGGGGGCACTGTGCCTTGGGTTCACTAGCATTAGTGGAGGAAGGGTGTGTCTTGTAAAATGGCTTTGTCTATATCAGGGTGTGTGCAACAGAGGACTCACCGCTGGGGCTGCCCCTCGCAGCCAGGCATGGGAGAGCAGCTCTGTAGTGTCCCCATCAATGGTCTGCCTCTTCTCATAACTCAGCACTGCAGCATGGTCACGGTTAGCCTCACCTCTTCTGGGCTAACAGAGTCCAACAAACAATTCCTTGTCACGTCTCCGGCTCCTGACTCTGGGCCCAGTGGTTTGAACACACCTCTCTCCAGAGTCTGACCTGTCCTTATCCCCCTACATCAGAGGGGAATCACCCCACCCTCCCACTAGCTGGTCGGAGAATCCAGCCCCATGCTGGGTTCCAGTCCAGGGAACGTAGGACAAGCAGCCAAGGTCTGCTCCATCAGACACTTGCTGCTGTCTCTCAGGACTCCTTCCTACCATTAGTTTTTCTTTAGGCCTTTTTCACCAGTCCCTTCCTGGGCTCTCTGTAACAAGCAACAACCTCCCAGGGCTTCCTCCTAGAGGCCTGGTTCTTGCCCTTGTGTCAGGGTCAACCGCAGGAGCTTGTCCCACTCCTCTGTCTTCTAGGTATCTTCCCTCCTTGAGCTTCCTCCTTGCCCTGCAAGCCTCCCTGTTCCCCACAGCACTCTCCCCTCTCTAGGGCCAAGAGAGTGGCTGGTGAATTCTTCCCTCATCCCCTGCAAGCCCTTTGCACTCCAGTCCCAGACACCCCTTAGCCTTCACTGCCTCCAGCTTCCTTCTGGCTCAGAACAACCTGCCACCAGATACCCAGGCTTCCTCCTAACTCAGAGCTCTCTAATTCTAGCCCCAAGCCTCTTTTTGCCTTTCCTCTCTTGGGCTAAACACCCAGCTACCCCTCTGCTGAGTCTCCTCCCTAGTTTCTTTCCCACTACCCTGAGCTCCTTCCTTTATGAAGACCCAGCTCCCTGTCAGCTGGGATTGCTCACCAATTAGGCCTACCACCCATTCTGATGCCACATAATTGGGCTCAGGCTCCTGTTAATCCTTTTGTTACCTGTGTGGGGTACACCTTCCCTCACACAGTGCTTCATAAAGTACCAGGTTCATGGAGCAAAACACCTTATGATGTTGGCCTGTATACTGGTACAGCCTTATTGAAGTAGTGACATTCTAAGGGAGTTCTGGAATTATTGTGTATAACACACCATACATTTGCATGGCACCCTGCAAATGTAGGGTAAGATACAATGCCTTCCCCAGGGTGCTTCCCCTCACCAATAGAACAAAGACACAGGACAACAGTTCAGGCGGAGAGATTTTTAATGAGGACAACAAGGTAGGCATGTTTCAGGAAGAAGAGGGTTTAAGGAGGGTTTTAAGTATTGTTGGAAGGAGGTATTTGGGGGACAGGATGTGGAGATTTGTTCCAAATGTAGAAGAGAGCATGACTGAAGGTACAAAACTGGCAGTGGGACAGAGAGAAAAGGAGCAAGGAGAAGACAGGATAGGGAGTAGAGGAGGTGGAAGGGGAGTCGAAATTCAGAGTTTTAGACAGGAATAGGATTATTTATGCTTTGTTAACAATTGTGAAGGCATGAAGGCAAAGACAGAGCTTGGATTAGATGCAGTATGAAATAGGAAGGCAGCACACATGTTCTGGGGCAGGCCTGAGGTGATGGGCTGAAGCGTAAAAAGAGAATGGTGGTTTCAATAGAAGGCTAGATTAAGTAGGGAAGACTTGAGGGACAGAGAGGAAAAGAATAATAATATTTAGTTATATAGCAATGTAGCACTGCCCCCCTTTTACAATGGTGGGCAAGCATCTTTATCCCCATTTTACAGATCAATTAACTGAGGCACAAAGATGAAGGTGCCCAAAGTCACCCATCAACAACTCAGGAACAGAACTCCGCCCTGCCAGTCCAGTGTTCTACCTAGGGTGCTTAAGCACTCATTGCTGTAGTCTCTGAGCATCTCACCATCTTTTGTGTGTTTATGTTATACCAATAAAATAAAAACCAGCAGGATCTTATTAAAGGGAAAAAGGCAAAATGCCACATTTATTGTGAATACAGAAAGAATCATAGTAAGCAATTAGTTATAGCTATAACATTCCATTCAATTTGATATTTATTCACATATTTATTCATACACACACAGGTTCTGCAAGGTTATTATCATAATTACCAGCCTCAGAGTTGCTCATGCCAAGCCACTGGCCAGGTGGCCTGGACATGAGGGAGCAGGGCCTTGTCAGATGCTCGTCTGATGCTCCTGGAAGTTGGTTTGCAGAATCAGACCCCAAAGTTCTCACTTTCTAGAGTCCATTTTTATAGGAATGTCTTCCTATGCCAGGCTATGGGAATTGCTTCATCATGCTGTTGCTGAATCAATCAGCAGATGGCACATTCCTGATGGCTCCCTGCTGCCAGATGTTATCTTGTTCTTTGGTTCTCCCATTCTTGAGGCTGTTGGGTGGATTCCAATCTGCCCTCCGGGGGTCCTCTGGTTATTTCCACTTGACGCCTTCTTCAGCCGATGGACACTAGATTCTTAGGCTGGCACCTCCCTGATCATTCAGTTATTATCCACACACATCCTCGATCTCTGTTTTAATCACAATTGTTAACAAAGCAAGATGAATACAACAAAAGGGCAGGGAGTCTCTGGGTGCTGTTTCTGTTGTTACAGAGTATTGCTTTGAGTCTCTCTCTGTGTGAGTAGTTGTTGTTACAAAGAATTGCTTTGAGAACAGACTCTATCTTAGAATGTACTAACACAATTAGCAGCTTGCAAGTTTCACACATAGAGGGAGAGAAACAGTACCAAAAACCAAGAGACCTCTTAATTAGTAATACCCTGGAATTTAAACTATGGGGAATCAAACTAATTTGTGATTTTAATAAAGAACTTCTTTAATATGATCCAACAATGGACCCTCTTATTAAAACCTCAGTAGCATGTATCTCCTTGCTGCCCCTGCTGCCACAATACTAATATTGATCCACAACCTAAATACTGGCCAATGCTTCCACCTCAGATGCTGAATGTGTGTTGGAAGGAGCAGCTTCCTCTGAGGAAGCAGAAGAGGCAGGAGTCTTCTCATCAGTATCCTCTGCTTTGATTATTCTGATGGAGTTTTCTTTCTTCGAAAGCCAGAAAGCAGGGTAGAGCGGCTCAGCAAATTCACACTCAAACTTGTGTAACAGAGTCATGGTGTCCAAGGTGACACCATAGAAGGACAAAGTGCCCTTGGGGTAGTCCAGATAGACCCCTATCCTGTTGAACGTGTCTGTTTTCAGTGGCGTCTCCACATCACTGTGCCACACAGAGAACCCCTTGCCATGCCACTGGATGCTCCAGGAGAAGTTATTCCCCGAGATACAGCTGTTGCTTTCTGACCCCTTCCGGTCAATGCTTTTGTATGTCATACCAATGTAAACGCCGGCTCCGCTTATTTCAGCCTCAAAGTAGTAGCGACCCATGTACAAGCTGTTGTCTGACAGCACCTGGCGCCAGTGCTCAAATCTTTCAGGGTGATCTGGGTAGGAGTGTTCCCAAGGCGTGGTGTTAGTCACTTTGTGGTTGTCCTCCAAGAGCCTGAGATATCTGTGGGCTGTGTCTGGGTCAAACATTAACGGGCAAGTGTCTAAATAGAAAAGAAAATTGTTACTGAAATGGCTAACGTGGCCTCTCCAGTGAACACTCTCCATGTTGTTTAGCCCAAGATATGAGCTATGGATCCTACTCCACTACTATACATAGTCCATTAGCTGAGCATCACTGGGCAACTGAATACCTTTGTATAGCCCAGGCGATTGTCACCGGGATTGAAAGAAGCTGTGGCCATGCTCATGTTTCAGTCGATAACAATTAAGACAACTGAGATACAGATAATCCAAGATAAACTACATAACCAGGTCGCTCTCTAGAAACCTCTTCCAAACTCCCATTCCCCTCTCCCCCATGAGCCTCATCTGCTTTAGAGTCATTAATTCCAATACTTACACTTGAGAAAGTCACTCCTAGTCTCTGGATCTGGAGCTGATATGCGGTGCCTGGATGGTACAAGTGCAGACACCATCGTTTTGATCCCACAGTCCTCTTCAACAACAAAAAGACAGTTAGTAGTCCCACAGACCACAGGTTGAAAACTGCTGTTCTGTGGTAACAACAAACTTTCACGGATCCCTTAGACACACTCTGCAACCCACCCAGGGGTCCGCGGGCCACGGGTTGAAACCCACTGCACTGCTGTAACACAAATGACAATCAATAATAATGTCAGTGTGAAGCTGGCGTGGATGAGAATCAGGATGAGGCCCACTGAATCCTGGCCTCCTGGGACTTTGTGTAAGCAGTGAAGGGAAACATGGTGTAGAGAAGTCAAGCACAAAATGTCACCTGTGGAGCCCTCCTAGGCGGCTTGCAGAGCTACATCGGTCTCAACTATGGCTAGGGAATACGTCTGGTAAGTTACTCCAGCCTAAAAGCAGTAGAAGGGCTGAAGAGCGGATTGGGTATCTTAGTGCCTCAAACCCACGAAAAGGGCTGCGCTTAACCCCACATCTCCTCAGACGTGCCTAGTCTTGGTGCCTACCTTGCCTCTTGCACTCAAGTGTCAGGGAGTAGGGGTGAGGTGAAGCTGAGACTTATTCAGTGCAATGGTCAATGCCTGGTGCTTGATTGTATTTGTGCAACAGTGCAACAGCCTCGCAGTTCCTGCTGCACACCACCCTAGGAAGGGCACTCTTGGCTGGCGTGGCACAGTCCCGGTCATTTTTAGGGCTTTGTGATGCTTCTCTGATCAGCTAAACTCAAAACACAAGACCCACTCTGTACCCTAGGCAGCTGTTTCCTGTCCTTCCTTGCCAGGTGTTTCTCTGGCATAAACCCAATCGTACTCAAGCGTGCAGAAATGGGAGGGAGAACAAACCCAGAGAAGAACAGAATCAAACTGCAAAGCAACCGGTGGAGATGAGAGCAGTCAGGGCTGCAGGTCAGTGCCAATAAAAGTAAAGTCCTTCATTCAGGGAGAGTCAATAAACAGCAAGACAGAAAACAGGAGAGGCGAGACTATAAGAAATCAGCAACAGCTATCACATTGTACCTACTAAAGGGCAGGACTGAAATCACGGGGCAATGGGAGAAGCAATAGCTTGAGATGACAGAGGTAAATTTCTATGCATGGGCTAGGATGGGTGTGTCACCAGCTCTATGCTATTACTAGTATGAAAGGAATCTCCATGTGACTAGTTAAGCTGGCTTTCTGGCTGCTTTGCACTGCCAGAGATAGATAGATCATGGAGGTTTTAGAGTAACAGCCGTGTTAGTCTGTATTCGCAAAAAGAAAAGGAGTACTTGTGGCACCTTAGAGACTAACCAATTTATTTGAGCATGAGCTTTCGTGAGCTACAGCTCACTTCATCGGATGCATACTGTGGAAACTGCAGAAGACATTATATACACAGAGACCATGTATTGTTTCATGGTCTCTGTGTATATAATGTCTTCTGCAGTTTCCACAGTATGCATCTGATGAAGTGAGCTGTAGCTCACGAAAGCTCATGATCAAATAAATTGGTTAGTCTCTAAGGTGCCACAAGTACTCCTTTTCTTTTTTAGATCATGGAGGATAATTGTGGGCAATGTTTATAGAGCATTTGGAGATCCCTGGATGGAGAGCAGTAGAGAAGGACAAAGTATTATTATAAAATTGCAGTACTCATTTATTCCAGAAAAAAACCAGATTTGCTGTAAATGCTACAACTTGTATGGAGTTAAAACCAGCTAAATCACCATGGATTCCACAGCTCCCTCCTCTGTCCATATGTTTCTCAAGGAAATAACTTCAGTCCTGAGGTGGCTGAGTTGATTCTCATCAGGAAAGAGCCTGGTTTCCTTGTTGTCACCTCCAGCTCATACCTGACTTTGTGTCAAGACTGCCAGCAAGGCAGGATTGATGCTGTGACCTCCATACATGCTCTAAGCAGGCAGAGATCGCACTAGCACCTAACAGCAAATAGCCTTTGCTTTACTGGGGAAACCAGGAGTGACTACATATAAACAAGTGGAACTGACTCAGCTGATAATGTTAATGCATGGGAGGGCGAGGAATTCATCTGGATTGTGTCAGACTCATATTGCTTATCAGATTTCTATTGTGGACTAAAAAGGCATTTGGATAGCAACCTAGGTAATATCCAGGCCTTTTTACACAGTAAATCATTAACTGCTGATTGAGGTGGATTGATCATTTGAAAGAAAGAGTGGGACAAAGTTAAATAGTGAGGAGAGGGGGCAATACCTGGAATGTTTCTACATTCTGCTTGCTCTCTTTTCTAATCACAGTATTGTGCTTAAATAGAAACATCACCCCCAACACACACACCCCTTAATCATCCCACTTTTCCCGCATGCTTGGACATCCAGTAAAATCGCAATCTCTACATCCCAATCTGTTACCATAGGAATCAGTGTGTGATGTTGCAAATCCAGCATGATGATCTCATTGCACACAGGAAGGATTGTCTGGTGGGTTTCTATTCCTGACTCTGCCACTGTGACCTTGGGATTGTCTGTTTCTGGGGGCCCGGGAAGCATTTTACAATTTATTGTAATTTACAATTTACAATTTACAATTTATTGTAAAGCATTTTACTTTATTGAAAGAGGATAAGAAGACACTACCACAGGGCAGGTTCAAGGTGGAAGCACAGCAGAGGGCATTTCTGACAGTAGCAGAGCACAGTTCCTTGCAAAGCACTGGTGAAATAGGGCAAGGCTCTGAGTGCAGACAGAACGGAGACTGCCTTGGTGAGTCTGTGTAAAAAATGCTGATGGGTGTGCTGTACACCTTAACCAGAGGGAGAATCCAAAACCCCCTGGAGCAGGAGTAGCTGAACATCATGGCTTGGAGACAAAGCAAGAGTTCAAGAAAACACAACCAGGATGCCAGGACAGGAACATACACCCACAAGCAAGGATTAGAACAGAGCTTCCTTATTTTGCAGAGAGTCTAATGGAACAGTATGAAGGTAGAGATTAAATATTGCAGAGAATCTGTACAGAGCATCAGACAGTAACAGGGGATGAGGGATTAGTATAAAATGGGACTGAAGTACAACACCGAGAGCTACTCAAATGCACTGTATGGTGTATTCAAAATAGAAGAGTTTGCCAAAGATGGTCCAAAGACATTTGGCCCTTCAGAGCCCAGGACCGGCTTAGGAGGACAGTCCACGCGTGGCACAGAGAAGCATCATAGAATCATGGAATATCAGGGTTGGAAGGGACCTCAGGAGGTCATCTAGTTCAACCCCCTGCTCAAAGCAGGACCAATCCCCAACTAAATCATCCCAGCCAGGGCTTTGTCAAGCCTGACCTTAAAAGCTTCTAAGGAAGGAGATTCCACCACCTCCCTAGGTAATGCATTCTAGTGTTTCACCACCCTCCTAGTGAAAAAGTTTTTCCTAATAGCCAACCTAAACCTCCCCCACTGCAACTTGAGACCATTACTCCTTGTTCTGTCATCAGCTACCACTGAGAACAGTCTAAAGCCATCCTCTTTGGAACCCCCTTTCAGGTAGTTGAAAGCAGCTATCAAATCCCCCCTCATTCTTCTCTTCCCCAGACTAAACAATCCCAGTTCCCTCAGCCTCTCCTCATAAATCATGTGTTCCAGTCCCCTAATCATTTTTGTTGCCCTCCGCTGGACTCTTTCCAATTTTTCCACATCCTCATCCTTCTTGTAGTGTGGGGCCCAAAACTGGACACAGTACTCCAGATGAGGCCTCACCAATGTTGAATAGAGGGGAATGATTATGTCCCTCGATCTGCTGGCAATGCCCCTACGTATACATCCCAAAATGCCATTGGCCTTCTTGGCAACAAGGGCACACTGTTGACTCATATCCAGCTTCTCGTCCACTGTAACCCCTAAGTCCTTTTCTGCAGAACTGCTGCCAAGCCATTCGGTCCCTAGTCTGTAGCGGTGCATGGGATTCTTCCATCCTAAGTGCAGGGCTCTGCACTTGTCCTTGTTGAACCTCATCAGATTTCTTTTGGCCCAATCCTCTAATTTGTCTAGGTCCCTCTGTATCCTATCCCTACCCTCCAGCGTATCTACCTCTCCTCCCAGTTTAGTGTCATCTGCAAACTTGCTGAGGGTGTAATCCACACCATCCTCCAGATCATTTATGAAGATGTTGAACAAAACCAGCCCGAGGACCGACCCTTGGGGCACTCCACTTGATACCGGCTGCCAACTAGACATGGAGCCATTGATCACTACCTGTTAAGCCCGACAATCTAGCCAACTTTCTATCCACCTTATAGACCATTCATCCAGCCCACACTTCTTTAACTTGCTGGCAAGAATACTGTGGGAGACCGTGTCAAAAGTTTGCTAAAGTCAAGGAACAACACGTCCACCACTTTCCCCTCATCCACAGAGCCAGTTATCTCGTCATAGAAGGCAATTAGATTAGTCAGGCATGACCTTCCCTTGGTGAATCCATGCTGACTGTTCCTGATCACTTTCCTCTCCTCTAAGTGCTTCAGAATTGATTCCTTGAGGACCTGCTCCATGATTTTTCCAGAGACTGAGGTGAGGCTGACTGATCTGTAGTTCCCAGGATCCTCCTTCTTCCCTTTTTTAAAGATGGGCACTACATTAGCCTTTTTCCAGTCGTCCGGGACTTCCCCGGATCGCCATGAGTTTTCAAAGATAATGGCCAATGGCTCTGCAATCATATCCGCCAACTCCTTTAGCACTCTTGGATGCAGTGCATCCGGCCTCATGGACTTGTGCTCGTCCAGCTTTTCTAAATAGTCCCGAACCACTTCTTTCTCCACAGAGGGCTGGTCACCTCCTCCCCATGCTGTGCTGCCCAGTGCAGTAGTCTGGGAGCTGACCTTGTTTGTGAAGACAGAGGCAAAAAAGCATTGAGTACATTAGCTTTTTCCACATCCTCTGTCACGAGGTTGCCTCCATCATTCAGTAAGGGGCCCACACTTTCCTTGACTTTCTTCTTGTTGCTAACATATCTGAAGAAACCCTTCTTGTTACTCGTAACATCTCTTGCTAGCTGCAACTCCAGGTGTGATTTGGCCTTCCTGATTTCACTCCTGCATCCCCGAGCAATATTTTTATACTCTTCCCTGGTCATTTGTCCAATCTTCCACTTCTTGTAAGCTTTTTTTTGTGTGTTCAAGATCAGCAAGGATTTCACTGTTAAGCCAAGCTGGTCGCCTGCCATATTTACTATTCTTTCTACACATCAGGATGGTTTGTCCCTGTAACCTCAAAAAAGATTCTTTAAAATACAGCCAGCTGTCCTGGACTCCTTTCCCCCTCATGTTATTCTCTCAGGGGATCCTGCCCATCAGTTCCCTGAGGGAGTCAAAGTCTGCTTTTCTGAAGTCCAGGGTCCGTATTCTGCTGCTCTCCTTTCTTCCCTGTGTCAGGATCCTGAACTCAACCATCTCATGGTCACTGCCTCCCAGGTTTCCATCCACTTTAGCTTCCCTACTAATTCTTCCCGGTTTGTGAGCAGCAGGTCAAGAAGAGCTCTGCCCCTAGTTGGTTCCTCCAGCACTTGCACCAGGAAATTGTCCCCTACCCTTTCCAAAAACCTCTTGGATTGTCTGTGCACCGCTGTATTGCTCTCCCAGCAGATATCAGGGTGATTGAAGTCTCCCATGAGAACCAGGGCCTGCGATCTAGTAACTTCCGTGAGTTGCCGGAAGAAAGCCTCGTCCACTTCATCCCCCTGGTCCGGTGGTCTATAGCAGACTCCCACCACGAAATCACCCTTGTTGCTCAGACTTCTAAACTTAATCCTGAGACACTCAGGTTTTTCTGCAGTTTCATACTTGAGCTCTGAGCAGTCATACTGCTCCCTTACATACAGTGCTACTCCCCCACCTTTTCTGCCCTGCCTGTCCTTTCTGAACAGTTTATAACCATCCATGACAGTACTCCAGTCATGTGAGTTATCCCACCAAGTCTCTGTTATTCCAATCACATCATAATTCCTTGACTGTGCCAGGACTTCCAGTTCTCCCTACTTGTTTCCCAGGCTTCTTGCATTTGTGTATAGGCACTTGAGATAACTTGCTGATCGTCCCTCTTTCTCAGTATGAGGCAGGAGCCCTGCCCTCTCGCGCGCTCCTGCTTCCTCCCGGTATCCCACTTCCCCACTTACCTGAGGGCTTTGGTCTCCTTCCCCCGGTGAACCTAGTTTAAAGCCCTCCTCACTAGGTTAGCCAGCCTGCTTGCGAAGATGCTCTTCCCTCTCTTCGTTAGGTGGAGTCCGTCTCTGCCTAGCACTCCTCCTTCTTGGAACACCATCCCATGGTCAAAGAATCCAAAGCCTTCTCTCTGACACTACCTGCGTAGCCATTCGTTGACTTCCACGATTCGACGGTCTTTACCCAGGCCTTTTCCTTCCACGGGGAGGATGGACGAGAAGACCACTTGCGCCTCAAACTCCTTTATCCTTCTTCCCAGAGCCACATAGTCCACAGTGATCCGCTCAAGGTCATTCTTGGCAGTATCATTGGTGCCCACGTGGAGAAGCAGGAAGGGGTAGCGATCCGAGGGCTTGATGAGTCTCGGCAGTCTCTCCGTCACATCGTGAATCCTAGCTCCTGACAAGCAGCAGACTTCTCGGTTTTCCCGGTCGGGGCGGCAGATAGATGACTCAGTCCCCCTGAGGAGAGAGTCCCCGACCACCACCACCCACCTCCTTAGACTAGACACCTCCCCGTATGTGCTTCAGGTAGTGGGTTTTGGGCAGCAGGCATTTTATCAGGACCTCACTTTTGCCATCTGGTGACAGCACTAAAGTGTTCACAGAGAGAGAGAGAGAGAGAGAGAGAGAGAGAGCTCTGCAAACGTACACTTAAACAGCTGCAAGGCAGAGGATGAGACTCACCTTCCTTTGCAAACTCCTGGAGCTTTTCCTTATAGGTGGTTTGTACAAGCTGTAGCAAGAGTTCTGTTGACTCTGAGATGACCCTTCTGATCCCTGACAGTTTATCTTTGAGTCCAATATAAACACTGGGAAGCACATCATCCCCTGTGTTCTTCTTGAGCTCACAATATTCCTGCCAAAAAAAAAAAAAACAGTTCTGTTTAGGCTCATTTCCTCATATGTTTGGCTGATTTTGTACCAGATCCATCTCACCATGAAGTTACTAGCAAAATCCAAATTGACTTTAGTGGGAGCAGACTCTGACCCTTTCCATTCCATTGAAGCCCTGAAGAACTTAAACTCATCTGACTCAGGAACCTATATTATGGGAGATCCTTAAGATCAGGCTGAATATGAAGTTCACCAGATAAACTTTATGATTGTAAAGCTAAAGCCAAGGAACAGCAATCTCTGGACCTCACTACAAGCTTCCCTGTACTCTGAGGGCATTAGAAAAAGAAGACCAGGGTCATAAAATAATGAAGGAAACAACACACCCAGCATTTATAATGAAATTACAGTGTTGTTGGCTGTAGGCTAATAGTGCATCTCAGTCAGTTCCAGGGAGAATGAAGAGAAGTCTTAGCAACTTCTAGAGATAAAGGTGTAGGGCAAAGTTCTATCATCTTCATCCAGAGCTTTGCACAGTTTAGGCTCAAACAATGTGGCCTTTAGAGATCTGAAACATTTTCCTTCTTTAAAAACAAAGGTGAAAAAATCTCACCCTCTCTCTCCTCCTAGATTTCAGAGCACTTTAGGGCTGAGAGGCACTTTGACAATCTCAGTCTTACACTCCACAACTCAGGGAGGGTCAATCAGTTCTGAATTTGGAGTCAGAATCTTCATTTCAGGTTACAGGAGATGCAGGCCGGTTCTAATGTTCTTAGAAGGCCTGGCACCATTTTTCAATTATAAAATAGCGCAATGCAGTCTGATTGTACTGCACACTTGACCTGAACGCCACAAACCAGACACTTATCTACAGACACACCATCCCCCAGGTCTTTATAATGGAAAGGCAGAGGTGAAAGTAAGCCGGTACGGTCCAGTACGGCGTTCCGGCAAGAGCCAGTATGCCGTGCCGGACTGGACCGACTTCCCCAGGCTGGTGCTTTAAAGGCCCTCAGGCTCCCCGCAGTGACAGGAGACCCAAGCCCCTTAAAAAGCCGCCCGAGCCCTGCTGCCGGAGCCCCAGGGTAGTGGCAACAGGGCTCCGGCGGTGATTTAAAGGGCCGGGAGCTCTGCTGCGGTAGCGGTGGCTGGAGCCTGGGGCCCTTTAAATCACCCCTGAGCGCTGGGGCTCCCAGCTGCCTCTGCAGCTGGTAGGTCCCGGGGTGATTTAAAGGCCCCAGGGCTCCAACTGCAGCTGGGAGCCCCTGGGCTTTTAACTCTTGATTTAAAGGGCCTGGGTATTTAAAGGCCCCACCTCTTCCGGTTGAGGCCACACACCCCTGCTTAGGACTCCAGAGTACCAGTAAGTCCTTTAAGTTACTTTCACCCCTGTGGAAAGGCCTTGTCCTTCATGCTACCTTAAGGAACAGGATGTCACTGGTGTGGAGGGCCATCTTCTCCAGCCTGAGTTTATTCTCTTCCATGGCAGCATGCTTGTGCTCCAGATGGATCTTTATCCCGTTGGCTTGATTCACCGCCACGTGCTCCTTCTCCTCTAGAAATGCCAGTACATCCGAGTGGGCCATCTTGACAGCTTCCAAGAGCTCCCCAAACTGACCGGACACCAGGTTTTTCACTTCGGAAATAGAACTCTACAGGGACAAAAGCCACCGCTGTTGCCTTTTCCAACCAGCCTCGCCGTTTCGCCATTGCACCTTCCTGGCAAATGCATCAGGATGTGCAAACAGCATTTTCTAATCACTGTGGAGATGCCTCCACAGCACAAAGGCAGTGACAGCAACAGCTAATCAGTAAATCCAAACCAAGGAACTGGAACCCATGGCCTGTTTCCAGCAGATCCTGGTCTCTTCCCCTATGCCCCAACACACATACATACACACAACCTGAGAGCAGTTTAGGGCTCTTAGGTTTTGACTGATTAAGAATCATAGCCAGGGAAATACCTTTCTGTGACAGAAAGGTTAAGTTAATTGGACCTGTGGAACTGCTGGATGCTGTTAAAAGGGCAACCTGTAATCCCAATCAAAGTTGTAGGAGGTGGCGAGTTGACCCAGGAAGGGGATGGCATTTCTTTTCAGAACAGAGAATTGGAAGGATGAAGGAAAGCATGCCCATGTAGCGCTGTGTCTTCCTTTTCATTGTGTTATGGGGTTAGATCACAGTGAACCATAGGCCTGAACCAGTTATGCATTGCCCATACATAAGAAGACCAGCTATCTCAGCACCTGGCTATGGAGGGATTTGACACCAACAACCCAACAGCAAGCCTTCTGAATGCACAGTACTGATATCCCAGTTAATCCTCATCATTTATTTATAAGTCGGCATGGAAGGATTCGATTTTTATTGGTAGGTGTCAGTAAAGATTGATTTCGCCGTACGCACGCAAACCGGCAAAAAAATATTTCCATCAACAGTAATCAAAATTCACAGTCAGGCACAGGAAGAAACATTCTGCCTGAGCACGTGGCAGAGTTTGATTTGAGGATATTGACTTTGGCTATTTTGAGATGTGATGCTGACAATTTGTGTTGTAATGGTTATCAAGCTTTCATTTTTTGAATCTCAACGTCCACTGTCATGAAACAATTATTGTTTGACCCTCCCCATTGATGGACACCCCCATAACTTCCCACAACTGTGAACATTTAAATGAATAAAAAATAAAAATGCTTAAAAATAAATATGAACACAGTCAGCTGAAATTATAAAAATGAAAGTAAAATTCTGCCAAGCGTATTTATAAGGCTGGTGGCCAAGTTGCAAAGCACTGAGACTTACTGTGGAGAATTGGGCAGTTGGGGGGGGAGGGGGGCTCTCAAAGTACCAACAGAGAGGGGAGAAAATCCACAGGAGTAACACCTCTGTTCCCACAATGAGCTTCCCATGCGACAAAGCACAGCACACACAGAAACGGACATGGAGGCACTTCCAATGGATAATTGAGAAGGTAACACAGTCATAGGCACCGACTCTGTGGGTGCTCCGTGGGTGCTGTTTGGTGGTGGGAGGTACGGGGGAGGAGCAGGAACGTGGCGCGCTCAGGGGAGGAGGCAGGGAAGAAGCGGGGCTGGGATTTGGGGAAGGGGTCGGAATAGGGGCAGGGAGGGGGTGGAGTTGGGGTGCGGGCTTTGGGGTAGGGGTTGGAATGGGGGCGGGGCTGGGAGCAGAGGGGGGTCGAGTAGAAGTTGGGGCCTATGAACACAATGAGTAAACAAACAGGATCTCTTCTCATTATTGAAGTAGGACAGGTATTGTATGGCACAGAGGATGCAGCCCTGCCTGCACTGGGGCTGGAGCCCTGCTGCTGGAAATGGAAATAAGGCGTAACTTCAATGAATCACAGGGTAAAATTCCACCCTGATTTCTACTCAACAGTCCCTGGGGGGAAAGTACCATGTGGCCTCATGGAGAGGTTACAGGATCTCTCCAGCAGGATGGCTACAACCAGGCTGACTTGGATCCTCTCCATACTTCCTTGTAAATCAAACAAAAACCCTCATTCTCCCAGATTATCAGAGTTGAGGACCGGCTCCTCAAAGGCATTTAAGCCCCTAACTCCCATTTCTGCTCAGACTGCCTACAAAGAGGTGAGTCAGAGCCAGTGGCTGTTGATCTGAGAATTCATCCAGAAATAGAAACTGGACTCAGACCAGCAAATTATCTCACAGAGGCTATCAGGAGGTAACGACTTTCCCCTAGATTTGAAGCAGCCACCTAGAAATGAAGGGCTTCATCTCTCATTAGCCATGTCCTGAGGGTTGGTTCTGGAATTACCATGCAGAAAAGTAACATCCTATCCGAGGAAGCAGCTGCGGAGGCTGTACCATGGAGTGAAGTCTGCGGGTTTACGTGAGTATTATGGCCACAACACAGGACAATTTCAAAAGGGTAACAATTAATATGATTAGTCCGCTTTTCAAACTGTTGAAACGTGACACTGCTCTTTGGAAGCCCTGTGGAGATGTGACTCACCAAAGATGCTTCACATAGGCAGCTGAATGATATCATCAAACAACAGTTCTGGGTGGATTCTCCACAACAGAAGCCGGCACAAAGCTGACCCTGCCCTGGAATACTAAATCTTTTGGCATTTGCAAGTGTTCCCTCACGAGATGAACAAAGCCACTTGGATTAAAGGCAAAGCAGCCCAAAAATCTCCCCCGCAATTCAAAACAAGCCTGAAATTTGGTGGAGTTTTTCAGCTTTTGACAGTCGTGCATTTTAATTGTCACGTGGCCTCTGGACGTTGTGATTCTACCCAGGCTAGGACCTCACTGTCTTTTTATAGTCACTTTTCAGGGTAATACTGCACTGGAGGGGAGTTTGAGCTGTGAAGTTGAGATGTTATCTGAGATTGTCCAAAGAATTTGGGATTCAGTATCTCAGTGTAACCCCTAAGTGAATGTTTGCTACAGGTCCCGTTCTGTGAGCAATCTGCAGAGGAAAAGAGTTAGTTACAGCCCCATGTAGGAAGCTTTAGTTGAGCTGCTGCAGCTCTCTGAGCTCCCAGTTCAATCTTTGGTGTCAAGCTGTTTTTTATGTAATAGTTAGTGGGCTTGATTCTCAGTGGTGTAAATCTCTCTTTCTGAGGTATTTATCTGGTCCCCATTACCATCATGTCTGAGCACCTCACAATTTTTAACATATTACTCTTCACAACACCCAAGAGGCAGGGCAGTGCTATTCTCCCTATTGTACAGGTGGGAAATGGAGCCAGAGGGAGACTAAGTGGTTTGCCCAAGGTCACACAGGAAGACTGTGGCAGAGCAGGGAATTGAGTCTCGGGTTAGTGTCCCACCCACCCTTCCATCCAACCTGCCCCATTGGCATGTTATTGTCTTGCTTCTCAGGGTTTTTAATGGAATGTGAGTAGCGGCTTGTGACCAGAGAGGGGAGAGCATGCCAGCGGCATGGAACAGGCATGGAGATGTCTGCAGATGACAGAAACATGGAGGCTTCATACACTTCACACATAAAGGATTGTAAGACCATTATCCAGGCTACCATTAAATATCATACAACCATTTTCATTCCATTATTATGGGTTCAGTTTAATCTGAGGAGGAGAAATAACCCAAGTTCTGTCCTTACCACTATAGACTGTGTATTATTCTGCAGCTTGACAATTGCGTTTTCAGTGGACTTCAGTTTCCAGTCGTACTCTGCTTGAGTCTGCAGAAGTTCTCTCTGTGAATGGATGAAGCAGGTGTTAACAATCCACTCTCTCAGTGACCAAACAGGATAGCAGAGAGAGGGTTTTATGAAACTCTATAGCTGATTTTTGGTACCCAAAGCAGCCAGCTGGAACCCGCTCCACTTCCCACAGACAAGAGCAATCCACAGACTCACAACACTCTGGACATTTTTATTAGCTTCTGTCTGATCTGGGGAGTGTGTCATTTTTTCCAGCAACACAATAAATTAGAAAATTCTGTCTCTGCAGCTCCTGCTACCTCTAGCGGCTGGGAAAGCCTATGACAGCAACAGAAACAGCAAATAAAACATCCTTGGTTACACATGGCTGCAGTAAATAAGCCCTAAGAAGGTCAGTCATCCAGAGCAGTGGAAGGGATATGTCAGAATCCAGATCAATGAGTGGGGAAAATACAAGAGGAAAGGGTCTGGGTTTTGCCTTGATCTTTCATACAAAGACTAGGAACAGATGGAATGGTTAACAAACGTAAAACCAATCCCTCCAGCCCACCCAAATCTTGGAACATTTCTAGACCCAAATTTGAAGTAAAAATTTTCAAGGTTCTGAAAAAAGTTTCCCTCTCACTTCTAGGGTCTGAGTCTGCTCTCATTTATACTGGTTTTCACTCCATTAACTCCATAGGGCGCCTATGTGACTTGGAGCCAGAGGTCCCAGTTTCAAAAGTGACTCATGGTCAGGTTTTGAAAGATATTCAGAAACCTAAAGGGGCAGGTAGGTTTAGTGGAATTTTCAAAAGCACCCAGGCACCAAACTCCCACTGAAATCCCCCCAAACAGCTATCTGCATCTTTAGGCCCCTAGATACCTTTTAAAATTGGGCCCTAAGTCACTTTTGCAAATTGGACTTGGGCTCCTGAATCCCATAGGTGCTTTAGAAAATTTTACCCATGACAAAAAGACCAGAGTATTAACATGAAATGGCCCGTTTGATTCTCACATATCATGCCAAAGCCGGGTTGTTGGGGGGCGGGGAGGGGACAGGTTATAGGCACAACTGGAATTCCCATTATAAAGCATACAGCATTGAGAAACGCTGTTGGCTCATTTTAAACCAGGAAATCTTTAGTCCATTCACAGATAAATCAACAGCATTTTTAAACAAACCTTCTCGAGCAGGTACTGGCAACAGAAACCTGGTCCTGGAATGGAGCCCGTTTCCGCCCCCAGCTGGGAGTGGAAGGGAAGGTAAACACAAGCTGCAAAGGGCACAGATTTGTATCTCGCTCAGTATAGGAAGAAGAAATGCAACTATATACTTCCCAAACCAGTCTTTCACTGCTACACACTACACAGTGGTGCACTCTAGGGTCAAATCCTGGAGCCTTTACTCAGTCCTTACAAAGACAGTGGGCTCGACTCACCCCCTCACTGGGTTTTACTCCTTTGTGATTCTGTTGAGCCCAATTCTGAGCTCAGAATCAGAACAGTAGTGATTCATATCCTCTTGGCACAGGGGGAAGTCGTGACACACGGTCTCAGGCCCTGGGGAATCAGGCCCATTGGTATTAATGAGGTTACTCCTGCTTTACACCAATGTGAGTGGTGGTTTTGACAGGGTAGAAACTGAGTAAAGACTTGAGGATTTGGCCCACAGCCAGGGACAACAAATCCCTCTTTGATATAAAGTACAAGTAACTCATTAATGAAACCAAGAGCCCTATACAGGCTACAAATCAGACAAGACCTAGGGCTCCTCTCCCTTATCACAGCTTCAATCAGGAGCAAACCCACTCATGCCAAATCCTAGTGTAAGAGTAAGACGAGTGTATAACGGTTGTGAGTGAGAAGGCCCTGGGCCCCACTCTGCCCCTATGCCCCTCTGCATCCTGGATCACTCTTCCCCAATGAACACCAATAAATACCAGGCAGTGACACACCTCATTGTCCTTCCTGGCTGCCTCACAGGTGAGCAAGTTGTGCCCCTTGTGCTCTTCGGCCAGGCACTCCTCACAGACACACACCAGGTCGGTCTGGCAGAACCACCCCAAGTGGCCTTTGTGAGTCTCACAGGTCTGCAGATCAATGTCCTTCGCGGGGTCCATCAGCTTGTGGCTCCGCAGCTTGCTGTTCTCCAGGTGAGGCCGGAGGTGGTCCTCGCAGTAATTCACCATGCAGGTCAAGCAGGACTTCACTGCCAGGACCTTCTGGGCCATGCAGAAGTCACACAGGATCTCTTGCCCATCCTCCAGACCGTTCCCCTGCTCCAGAAGGCCAGGCTGGCCCGTTGCCATCTCAGAGCCATGTACAATCAAACTGCCCTGCAGGTCAGGTCCTGGGCTAGTGGCTTCTGGGCTTTCATGGCCACTCAACTCTTCACCCTCAGTTTTCTCACCTGGGAAGCCATTGCCCTCACAGACCTGGTGCCCTTTTGCCTTAGGGACAGGGTCACCTAGTACCAATTCCTGGGGCAGCCTGTCTGGAGCAGTAGGGCCACAGTCAGCCATTTCTGAGTTCCTCTGCCTTCCAAGGCATGCACACTGTAACTGCACAGCAAAGGGGGAATGAAAGAAAGTGACACACCTGAACTCACCCAACTGCCTGCAGCTGTTAACTCTTTCCAGCCCCTTTCAGGAAGTAGGAGTGCAACCAGAGCCAAGAAGCAAACCGCGAGTGAGTTTGTTCTGTGAATGACAGGTTGTGTGAGCTGTAGATAAATGCTGCTCCTTAAAAGCTGTCAATCTTGTCACTGTCCCTCTGTCTCAAATCTACAACCTTCCACCCGGACTTGCTGTCCTCTGTACTTCCAGCTACAGTTGGCTGGAAAGTTGTTTTTTTCCTCCCAAATGGAAAATTTCAAATTTTCATCAAGAACCAAGAAAAATTCAGCTGAAAACTACTGAAAATAAACAAAAAATTGGTTTTGGGGTTTCCAACAAAAAATCAAAAATTGTCAAGGATAGGAGACCCCTTCTGCAGAATTTTTCATTTTTTTCACATACCCAGATTCCCAATGAAAAAAAGTTTTGATGAAAAATTTTCAACCAGCCCTCCCTGTAGCCTGATGAAATGTACTATTAATAGTGAGCCAAACCCTCATGTTCTTCCATGGCACACCTGTTGAACGGTCTAAATCTTGATGCCCTGATGAGTTTTTTATTCAAATGGAATTGTGACTGAGCCAGGACTGACTACAATCTGAGTGAGACTGCCAGGACTTGGCCCATTAGTTATATTTAATACTTGTAGGTAGGCACGCTTTTCATCTTGCAACAACCACTGAGCTAGTTCTCTCTGAGAGGCTGAGTTATGGGGCAGAGATTATTTAAATCCACATGCCCTTTGGAAACTTTCTGCACAAAATATTAGCTCATGTTCTTCATTTTGGCTTTTCGCCCCTCCTTTGCTCATGGGAAACACAGCCGATACAGTTTAAGTTCCCAGTTTTATCATGTGAGCACTGAAGGAATTTGCTGCTCTAAATGCAGCTTTTCTCCTGCGTTCCCCTTCCTCTGTTCAGAAAGGCAAGGCTGAAAAAAGTGAAACTGGTTCTTCCAGTGGATGGTGGAGTTGTGAAATAAGAGAACTTCCACTCAGGTGCCATCCCTTTTTTGGCATCGAGGAAGAAGATGGTAATAGGCATCTTTGGTGACTCCAGGATGGTTTGCATCATGCCTCTATATCTGAGGCAAAATGATTTAGGGGTTTGGGGAGGTTACCCTTTGCTATTGTAAAAGACTCGTAGACTTTAAGGTCAGAAGAGACCATCATGATCATCTCGTTTGACCTGCATATTGCAGGCCGCAGCACCTCACCAGTGCCGGGTTTACAATGGCACCAGTGGCACCATGGAGCCAGGCCCATGCTCTGCTTGCACTGTGCCCCAAGACCCTGCCAGCCCGCTGGTTCCCCCCCACCCACCATTTGCTCCTCTTGGTCTGCCCGCCGGCCGGCCAAGGGCTCCTCTCCACCCCCTTGCCCCACCCGCCAGCTTCTCTCTGCCTCCTGGCCGGACCCCAGTGCACCTCCGGCTCCAGGCAGTCTCTGCTTCCCACCACCTGTGGGGCCCCACCTGTCTCCCCGGAGCTGAGCCGCCTGGGACTGATGCAGAAGCCTGGCCAGTCTTGCCCAGCTGGGGGGAAGGGCAGTGGGGGGAGGGGGGGGCTTGGCTGGGCCCTTCCAGGCAAGTAGGTCCTGACGGAGCCCTGGCTGCATTGTCAGCTCAGCCTGGCAAACACAGTAGCCTCCCAGCAGGGCTGGTGAGTGCGTCTGGGAGGCAGGGCATGGGGGAGGGGGTCTCTGGAGGGCCTTGGGGGGGTGGGTGCTGGGCTGTGAGAGGGCGGGGAAGATCTCCGTGTGTTGGGGCACTAAGTAGAGGGGGTTCTGTGTGGGGTGCTGGGCAGTTGTGCTGTGCAGGGTACTGTGCATTTGTGGCAGGGTCTGGGAAGGTGCTCGGCATAGCGGGTCCAGGGGGGCTTTGGTCATAGGGAATCGGGGGGGGGGTGTTCCAGTGTTGGGCAGGGGGCTGTGTGGCACAGCATGAGCCCACTCCCAAGGGGAAGGGGCATGCTGGCAGCACAGGGCCAGGAGGGCCATTGTGCATCTGGCAACTGCCAATTTGTAAATAGTGCTAAGATATAATATGATGCCTCTCGTAGTGGCTTGTAAATATTTTATATTAAACTTATACACAGGGATCATTCATCCATCACCAACATGCAGCCACCTCTTGGGCATAGGCGCCGACATTCCAACCCCTTCCCCAAAGTCCCTGCCCCAACTCCCTCCCCTCCTGCCCCCATTCCAACCCTTTCCCCATATCCCCGCCCTGGCCCCGCTTCTTCCCTGCCTCCTCCCCTGAGCGCGCCATGTTCCTGGCCAAGAAGGCCAATGGCATTTTGGGATGTATAAGTAGGGGCATAGCGAGCAGATCGAGGGACATGATCGTCCCCCTCTATTCGACATTGGTGAGGCCTCATCTGGAGTACTGTGTCCAGTTTTGGGCCCCACACTACAAGAAGGATGTGGATAAATTGGAAAGAGTCCAGCGAAGGGCAACAAAAATGATTAGGGGACTGGAACACATGACTTATGAGGAGAGGCTGAGGGAACTGGGATTGTTTCGTCTGCAGAAGAGAAGTATGAGGGGGGATTTGATAGCTGCTTTCAACTACCTGAGAGGTGGTTCCAGAGAGGATGGTTCTAGACTATTCTCAGTGGTAGAAGAGGACAGGACAAGGAGTAATTGTCTCAAGTTGCAGTGGGGGAGGTTTAGGTTGGCTATTAGGAAAAACTTTTTCACTAGGAGGGTGGTGAAACACTGGAATGCGTTGCCTAGGGAGGTGGTGGAATCTCCTTCCTTAGAAGCTTTTAAGGTCAGGCTTGACAAAGCCCTGGCTGGGATGATTTAATTGGGGATTGGTCCTGCTTTTGAACAGGGGGTTGGACTAGATGACCTCCTGAGGTCCCTTCCAACCCTGATATTCTATGATTCTATGATTCCTGCTCCTTCCCCCCACACCCCAGCTTGCTACAGCTGTTTGGCGGCGGCAAGCACTGGGAGGTAGGCGGAGGAGCGGGGACTCGGCGCACTCAGGGGAGGAGGCGGAGATGAGGTGGGGCAGGGGGGCAGGGAGCTTGGCTGCCAGTGGGTGCAGAGCACCCACTAAATTTTCCCCGTGGGTGCTCCAACCCCGGAGCACCCACAGAGTCAGCACCTATGCTCTTGGGTGAAGCACAGCAGCTGTTTAACAGCTGCAGGCCAAGCCCTGGTCTACACTAGGACTTTAGGTCGAATTTAGCAGCATTAAATCGATGTAAACCTGCACCCGTCCACACGATGAAGCCCTTTATTTCGACTTAAAGGGCTCTTAAAATCGATTTCCTTACTCCACCCCTGACAAGTGGATTAGTGCTTAAATCGGCCTTGCCGGCTCGAATTTGGGGTACTGTGGACACAATTCGACAGTATTGGCCTCCGGGAGCTATCCCAGAGTGCTCCATTTTGACCGCTCTGGACAGCACTCTCAACTCAGATGCACTGGCCAGGTAGACAGGAAAAGAACCGCGAACTTTTGAATCTCATTTCCTGTTTGGCCAGCATGGCAAGCTGCAGGTGACCATGCAGAGCTCATCAGCAGAGGTGACCATGATGGAGTCCCAGAATCGCAAAAGAGCTCCAGCATGGACCGAACAGGAGGTACGGGATCTGATCGCTGTATGGGGAGAGGAATCCGTGCTATCAGAACTCTGTTCCAGTTTTCGAAATGCCAAAACCTTTGTCAAAATCTCCCAGGGCATGAAGGACAGAGGCCATAATAGGGACCTGAAGCAGTGCCGCGTGAAACTGAAGGAGCTGAGGCAAGCCTACCAGAAAACCAGAGAGGCGAATGGCCGCTCCGGGTCAGAGCCCCAAATATGCCGCTTCTATGATGAGCTGCATGCCATTTTAGGGGGTTCAGCCACCACTACCCCAGCCGTGTTGTTTGACTCCTTCAATGGAGATGGAGGCAATACGGAAGCAGGTTTTGGGGACGAAGAAGATGATGAGGAGGAGGAGGTTGTAGGTAGCTCACAGCAAGCAAGCGGAGAAACCGGTTTTCCCGACAGCCAGGAACTGTTTCTCACCCTAGACCTGGAGCCAGTACCCCCCGAACCCACCCAAGGCTGCCTCCTGGACCCAGCAGGCGGAGAAGGGACCTCTGGTGAGTGTACCTTTTAAAATACTATACATGGTTTAAAAGCAAGCATGTGAAAGGATTACTTTCCCCTGGCATTCGCAGCTCTCCTGGATATACTCCCAAAGCCTTTGCAAAAGGTTTCTGGGGAGGGCAGCCTTATTGCGTCCTTCATGGTAGGACACTTTACCACTCCAGGCCAGTAACACGTACTCGGGAATCATTGTAGAACAAAGCATTGCAGTGTATGTTTGCTGGCGTTCAAACAACATCCGTTCTTTATCTCTCTGTGTTATCCTCAGGAGAGTGAGATATAATTCATGGTCACCTGGTTGAAATAGAGTGCTTTTCTTCAGGGGACACTCAGAGGAGCCCATTCCTGCTGGGCTGTTTGCCTGTGGCGAAACAGAAATGTTCCTCGCTGTTAGCCACAGGGAGGGGGGAGGGGGTAGCCACGCAGTGGGGGGAGGCAAAATGTGACCTTGTAACAAAAGCACATGTGCTATGTATGTAATGTTAACAGCAAGGTTTACCCTGAAAGAGTGTAGCCACTGTTTTATAAAATGTGTCTTTTTAAATACCGCTGTCCTTTTTTTTTTTTCCACCAGCTGCATGTGTTTCAATGATCACAGGATCTTCTCCTTCCCAGAGGCTAGTGAAGATTAGAAAGAAAAAAAAACGCACTCGAGATGAAATGTTCTCCGAGCTCATGTTGTCCTCCCACACTGACAGAGTACAGACGAATGCATGGAGGCAAATAAAGTCAGAGTGCAGGAAAGCACAAAATGACCGGAGGAGAGGTGGCGGGCTGAAGAGAGGGCTGAAGCTCA